CTAATAGCTGGGTGATATGAGGAAATTCATCTGATTTCTCTGGGCCTCAATTACTTCTTTTGTGGAACGAAGACAAATCCTAACTAGAAGGTTGTTATAGACTATATAAAATAACGTATGCAACCCATGAAAATAAGAAACTATAGTCTGCAAATATTAAAAAGCAAAGATTAAAATGTTTTAAAGGGTGAAATAAGGCCACTGTGTCCAACAGTGACCTGTGATCTTGGCTTCGGTGATGTTCCTGCATAAGTAAAATTATACAAGCGTGAGTTTCATTTAGGTTGGGCAGTTGAAATTGGATATTTATTAATCTATGATGGGTAGGCCTGCATTTTCTTCTGTCTTTCCTATCCATATATGATAGAGATTTCTGCTGATATGCCTTGTTATTTCTTGACTTTCCATGAATGGAAAATGAGAAATAGTCAAACCTGGGTTTAAGTTATGGATCCCGACTTCCTTTCTTCCTTCAGTCACTCACTCACTCATTAAAAGTACAGATTATGTTCCAAGTTCTATGTTAAGGCACGAGAGATAAAGACGTGCCCAATGGCCTCCATGATCTTACAGTCTAATGGAATGAAAAAATAAGTGTAACAAGTATTAAAATTAAGTGTCCAGTTTAAGCAGCCCCAGAAACAATACATACTGAGGGTGCAAAAAAAATGTATACACACTTTAAGAAAGGAACAAACTGTATTAATTGTAATAATATATACTGATAACAAAAGATGAATACAAGTCACGTTTGACTTCTGCGATTACAAGAGGTGCTCGAAGTGGTTGCCATCAGCGTCCAGACACTCCTGATTACGGCAAACATTATTTGGTAGCATGTAAATTGTTCCAACACCACAGAAGCAGGACTTGGTGCTGTGCAAGGCCTCACAGGTCTTCCCTTGTGCACATCACACACTGTAGTACCATGCGTCTCAAACTTATCACGAATGCGTGCAATTGTTAGGTGTGTTGGAGATTCTGTTGCTTACTCACACCTCCATTGTCGTACTTCCACAGCATTCTGGAATTTCAAATAGCATTTCAAAATGACCTTGTGCTCCTCAAACAACAACTGTTTCCACCATTTTCTTTGACTGTCCTGCCTGTTGCATGGTGACACTAGCATTCATTTGATTAACATCACCTTTTGAGCAAATGTCATACTACACATTGCTACCAAAACTCAATTCAACTTCGAAAAGCAATCCATAGATAACATCTCTTAAAATGTGTATACATTTTTTTTGGCACCCTGGTATTATATGTTGAAGCAGGTGTAAGACAGAAACTCCTGGGAGATATTCTATATAGAATAACTTCCACGATTCTTAAATCCCATGGACTACTTTAAGAACACAAAATAACTAGAGAGTAAGGGGGAGTGAGGTACTTGTGATCCTATTTCTTTGGAGAAGCATGGGAAGAGGCTACTATAGCTTTCATCACAAGCTAAGAGAGGGGACTTCAAAGGGACCAGTAAATATCGGTTGATATGTTAATTCATGTTAACAAGATGTGAGTGAAACACAAACATCTCTGATAACTGAATGACACGACATGAGCAGCTTCTTTCTTGAATTGGCTAATAATTTTCAACTGCTGGAAGAATATGTCCTTTTTTCCCCTGTTTTGCTTTTCACAATATAACAGCTACAGACACGGCATGCCTTTAAGTTTTAGCTGCACTGCAGACATTTTCTTCAACACATTTTTAAATCTAGAGTAGACAATAAACAAAACGATAGATCAAACTCTTATTTGTGATGTTTTCCAGTTTCTGAGGTGTAACTACTCCCACCATGGTAAATTTCAAAATACCATCATGCTGTCACTGAATGCAGAGTTAGGAAGAGGTGTGCAATAGCATGGCATTATATGGTATCTTCACCATTCAGATACAATAGAGGAGAATAACTGCAAGAGCATAAGTAATAATAAAAAGCATTGAAATAACTAGAAAATGATTTTTGAGTATTTATTACATTGTTTCTGATGTGATTTCATTGTAAGTTTATATAACTTAATTTTTAATAATAGCTGTGTTTAACAACTGCCTATAAAATTCCTGAAAATTGAACAACAGGCGCTCACAAGCCAGTATGTCACCTCTTATACACCATTAACTTTAAGTACATTGAAAACATAACCTTTACTGTCCTAGCTGTCACTCTCAAACTACTAAAATATGGATTTTCCTTTCTATGAAATTAGTAGTGACCTTTGGAGCAGCAAATCCCTCTTCCCTTAATCCAGTGGATAGTTTCCAGTCTTAATCTTACTTGATGATCTGTGAGAAATGACACTATTGGTCCCTTCCTTGAAACCGATTTATCATTAGTTTTTCCAATCTCTTCATCCTACCTCTGACTAATCCTTAAGTTTACTTTGAATGGTCTCCTTCCTCCATTGAGTGCTTCAGTATTGGTGTTTTTTAATGTTCCTGGTCCTCACCTCTTACATTTCACACTGCCTCTGGAAGCCATATCTACTCTGCTGTCACTGTCTGAGTCAACACCAAATCTATATCTCCAAACCAAAATTCTCCCCTAGCCTCCTAATATCTAGACCCATGTTGGCAATTGCCTCATGATGTGTTTTTACCCTAGTGTCCCATACAAATTTCAAATTCAGAATGGCCATAACAGATGTTTCTTCCTTTTGAAGTTTACTTTGCCCTTTCAACTCAGTCATTTACAGGAAGCATCATTAACCAAATTATCTAACCAAAAGCCTGGATGCCATTCTTCATTCCTCCCTCCTTCATATATTCCAGCAGCTATTGAATCTGACCCTAATATCTCTACCAACTATTGCTTCTCTCTATACTCACTGTCACTGATAAAACTTGAGTTCTAAGCACACTTCATTGTTGTAACAACCCTCTAATTTCCTAACTTTGGGTCATCCTACACAGCGATGCCTCTGTGATCTTTCTAAATCACAAATCCTTTAATGGCTCCCAATTGCCTTAGATCAGTGGTTCTCACCCGTTATTGTACAACAGACTCATCTGGGGAGGTTTTTCAACCAATTTTACAAATGCGTAATTTACATATAATAAAGTGCACCTATTTTAAGTATATTGCTCAAGGTGTTTTGACAAACATATATACCTGTGAAACCACAATCAAGATACAAAATATCTCCATCACATCAAAAAGTTCCCATATGTCCTTTTTAAGTCAAACTCCCCAAGTTTATCCTTCCCCAAAAGATAACCCCAAGCAACCACCAGCTTTCTGTCAGTAAAGATTAGTTTTGCCTGTTCTAGAATTTCATGTAAATCAAATCAGACAACATTTACTCTTTGGCATGTGGCTTCTTTTACTCAAGATAATGTCTTTGAGGTTCATCTATGATATGGTACATGAAGCGGTAATTTCTTCTCTTTTACTGTTGAGTAGTATTCCGTTGTATGAATTTATCAAAATATTATCCATTCACTTGCTGGTGGACTGTTTTCAGTTTGGAGCTATTATGATTAAAGCTTCTATGAATATTTAGGTACAACTATTTTTGTAAACACGTTTTCATACCTCTTGGGTCCATACTTAGAAGTGGAAGCACTGGGTCTTATGATAACTGAATATTTAACTCTAGAAGAAACTGTGTAGTTTCCAAAGTGGCTGTACCATTCTACATTCCCATCAGCATTATGTCAAAGCTCCAGGCAGAGAGTCATGGCAAACACAGCTCATCTTGCATGTTTCCCCTCTCTGGCATATCACAGACCTGTACTGCCTGTTATTCAATGTCTGACAACAGTTGTTTCATATTTTTGTCTAGTTTTTTCATTGTTGAGAGTGGGATGGCAAGTCCAGTACCAGGTACCGTCACCACAAGAAGCAAAGTCCACTTGGGGAGTCTGTTTAAAAATATGATGCTAAGTTCCACCCCATGATAATTAAATCTGAGCTCCTGGTAGAGGAGAGCAGGAGAGGGGGCTCTAATGTGCAGCAATGTTTGAGAATCACTGGCCCAGAGGGTAACGTTTAATTTCTCCACTAAGGCAAGATCTTTCAGAATCTAAGACTACATCTCCAGTCTAAACCCTCCCATTATCATCTTTTGTCATTTCTCCTAAGCTTCAACCAGTAGTACTTTATGAACCTCAACATGATATTTCAAACCTATGCCATCCGTATGGTTCATTTTGGTCCAAAGTCTATTGGAAGTACTTATCCTTAAGATTCAGCCAAAGTGTGCTTGGCTGCATGGGAACTAAGGAAGAACCAGGGATTTCTAGGGCAGAATGTTGTATTAAAAAGAATACTGGGACAACAAATGCAAGATTTAGTATCTGATACCTTCATTTACAACTGGGTGAAATTTAGCCGTCATCTGGTTTCCTTGGGGATAACACAGTGTTAACAATACTTACCTGGCAGAGGGACAGAAGAGCTTACACACAGAATGCACCCAACGTGGTGCACATAACAGGCACCCACAGAACACTCCCCTTCACACCCCACGCTCCACGCAAAGTTCCACCGCAAATTGCATTTTATTATCTGTTTGCGTCTCTCTTTTCCCCACGAGATGTTGAGTTTTCTATTGAGCGGGACTACTTTTTTACCTTTGCATCCAGGAAGCATAAAAGTGCGTGGATAAGACAGAAGTTCAAATAAATTTCGGATGAATGAGGAGGGTTGCGTAGTCTCTAGTTCTGATTGCAAAGGGCATTTACAGTATTCTTCATTCTCAACACCAATTCACGCTTTGGGGGCGACGTGCCACCCAGTCCTTGGTAGGGAAACCGAGGGAATTGTACAATAATTTTGATCAGATAAGCATCCAGAGGACGTTTCCATTGTCGAGTTAAAAGAACTTGCAAGTCTGTGCTGCCCCCTAGCGCGGCGTACAGCACCTTCAGGCGTTGGGCAGCAGGAACACAAGACTCACGCGGAGGCTTCTCTGAGGAAAAATTCTCTGAGCCACTTTTCCCTTAAGGAAAAAAGGGGTAGAAGACAGGTGGGCTGGTGCCGGAAGAGCGGGAGCGCGCGCGAGGGCACCGGGGTAGCGGGGGCGCGCGAGGACACCCACCCACGCCGCGGTTGCCTGGCAACCGGCCCCGGAAGTCGCGCGAAGCGCGTTGGCCACAGGCGCCGGCGAGCGGCTGAAAGATGGCGGAAGGCGGTGACGCCGACCCTGCGGAGCAGGACGCGAGGTCATCCGGGCCGCGGCCCCCGAGCGCACGGGACTTGCAGGTGCGGCGAGCGACTGAGCGCGGGGGCTTGGCGGGGGCGTGAAGGCGCGGGCGGGGGCGTGTCGGAGGCGGCCTCTGGCCTCGGCGGAGCTGTCCCCAGACCCAGTCTGGTGACAAGTGTGATTTCCCGCGCCACAGCCTCCCCAGCGCGGCTCAGCGTGCAGCGGTGTTCGCGGAAACAGCTGTGCGTTTCCCCAACACCTCGTTTGCAACTCAAGCACCTGTCCATTTAGAATGGCATTTGGTGGGCTCAGTTGAGGGGTTCACCGGTTGATGCGTCCTTCAGGAGACTTGCTGCGGAAGAAAGCTTTACTACGGCCGTGGGGAGATCGGCGGTCACTTGAAAGTAATAACAGGTGCGCTGGCTTGATCTTGTCTTGGATGCTGGTTCTGTCTTGATTACATACATATATATGGTTCCTTTATATCAGGTTGCTTTTTCCTTTTAAAGGTTGAACTAAAGTATTCCATCCTACGGCTGCACAGTCTAGTTGTAAAAGCTCCAGTCTATAAAACATCGCAAATGAGGAACGGGGAAATAAAGCTTTGTAATGTTATAGGGTATCAACATTAGGTATTTAAATAGGAGTGCACCAAATTTTGTTTTATCAGATGCTTAACACTACTTTGCTCGTTTTAGGCCTTTTCTTTCTTTCTTTCTCCTTGGAAGATCATTGATAAAATTCAACAGGTAAACACATCCATAAGGAGCTGTAATTAAAAATAAATGACACTGAATCCACAGCCTTGGTAGAAAAGTTCTGTTACTTTTAGAGTCACACCTTTATTCTACCTCTCTGAACGTACATGTTGACCACCGGCCATGTAATGTCCTGCTAAGCCCTGGGGAATGCCGAGAGAAAGGGGACATCAGATCCACAGTTGACACTGGTGCTGGACACTGTTGAAAGGGGTAGAAGTGTAAAAGGCATTTCTACCTATTTTTTGCAGAAATAAGATATGAATGTATTTAATATAACATTTTAAGATGGAGTATGAGTGAGTGCCCAAATAAGCAGTGGATAAAATGAGGAATTGATAAAATGAGAATGGAGAGATCAGCGTCAGTTTACGAGATGCACTGAATATAGAATAGTTCCAGTGCCCCTATGTCAATTCAGTAGTAGTAAAGAGAATCAAGGACCGGGAAACTATCATCTGCTTCATCTGTTCTATTGTAGACCACCATTGCTAAGAGGCAGCATGGGATGTTGGGGGGAAAATGAGTTTCTGGTTGGACCAACTTCGGTTTGCATCTTGGCCCTGCCACTTATAGTAGTAGTTGCATGAATATAGAAGAAATGCCTTAACCTCTCTCATCCTCAGTCTTTATTTGTAAACTAGGGGTGATGTTAGTGTGTCAAGGATGAAATAAAGTAACATCTATAAAGTGCCTGTGCATGACTCCCATATTATCCTGGCCCCAGTACTTGCTTGGTAAATATTTGGTTTCTTTTCCCTTAAAGGAACTCACTAGTTAGTCCATTCTAATGCCATTAAAGTTAAAACTGTGTAACTTAATGATCTCTCTCTTATTTATTTATTTTTTAAATTGGGGAGTTGGGGGAGGGGAACAGTGTTGGGGAATTGGGGAAGGGGACCAGCCAAGTTGTTCTTCAGTCTTCATTGTGGAGGGCGCCAGTCGCCATCTGGCTGCCCATCGGCATCTCGTGGCCCCTAAACTCAAGGTGCTGTGTTCAATCTTAGTTGCGGGTGGACGTAGCCACAATCCCATGTGGGAGTCAAACCAGCAGCCTTGTTGTTAAGAGCGCGTGCTGTATCCACTGAGCAATCCTGGCGGCAGCTCAGCTCAAGGTGCCGAGAGTTCAGTCTTACTTGCGGACGGGCATAGCCCACTATCAAACAGGCAGCCTTGTTGTGAGGAGCACGTGCTGTCACCAGCTGAGCCATCCAGTGGCAGCTCAGCTCAGGTGCAGTGTCACTGGCCCATGTGGGAATCGAACCGGCGGCCCTGTTGCTCAGAGCTCGCGCTCTTAAGCTAACTCTTAACCAACTGAGCTACTCGGCCGGCCTTTCTCTAATTTGAATCCCTTTTTATGTGAACAATGAGGACAGTTTGGTTAATGATCACCTGATACTTGGCAAGTTTACAGAGAATCCCGTGGATTAATATATGATTAATGATTAGAGATATCTAGCGTCATCTGGTAGATGACGCTAATTGTGAGAGTGCCTTTGTTTCCACTGTCACTTAGAAGATAGGGATTTTTTTTTTCATCTATCTACTTTCTGGTAGGTAGGTTAGCAACTGACTTTTTTATGAATGTGAGTTGGTATATCAGACACTCAGTATTGATAATCTTTCCTTCAGGATTTAATAAGAATGTGAAGAACTTGCAAAGAAACCTGGAAACGAGTGATAACATATGAGGAAATAGAGTATGTATCAAAGGTTTAAAAGAATTGGTTAATGTTCTTCTCCCTGACTGGTTTCTTGGATATTGATTAGTTTTGGATTATCTTGTTATTGTTTTAATCTAGTCATGCTTATTTTAAGAGTTACCCAGTAGTGCGGTTCTCAGTAGATACTTACTATTTTTCTGATAGCTTGCTCTGAGAGTCAATCTGTCAAGGTATTAATTACAGAAGAAAAAGGGTAATGTATTACTAATTGGAACAGCAAAAGTACCGCTAAATATGTATATCTTAGCAGCCACATAGTGTAGGGTTTGTCAGCATCTAAATCAGGAGAGATTTCTCCATTTCTCAAAAGGGGAAAGATTGATAGTTGTCTCCCAGAAAACCTCCCAGCACTATGAGCCTCTGATTTTCAAACTGCAGAAATCTGTGAATATCAAACCGAGAGTAGATCTTAGCTCCCTTCATTCCCCCCATATTGGGAAACACTCTGTGGGGAAGTTTGGGACAGGTTTGTTGGTGACATTCTAACCCTAAACACCTCAGTATTCATTATATTTGTGAACATTTTCAGAGATCTTTGTCTCTTCTCGTGCCCCTCATCCATCCACACACTTAGGTTTAACAGTAGGTTCAGGTATTTAATTACCTTATGCATGCTTCTGCCCCATTTATGAAAAAAAAATATTTCTGTTCTTAATTCTGTATTTCCTTATAGGTTGGAGTTTGAGTGGAGGGAATTAAGATTAACCTCAGTACTTATTAGGGTTAGGATTGGGCTTTGAGTGGGACAAAGAGGGAGTTCTAGTGTATAAGTGAGAAAATAAGATTATCTGATACTATGTTACAGTTGTCACAAGTACGCTAATCCTGTTGTATATCGTTGGTTCTCAATTTTAGTGTGCGTTATAGTCAGCGGAAAGGCTTGTTAAAGTGCAGATTACTGGGCCGAACCCCAGAGTTTCTATGTCAGTAGGTCTAGGGTGAGGCTTGCGCATCTGCATTTTTCAAGGGACCCCAGGTGAGGCTGATCTTATTGTTCTGTATAAAAATCAGTATTATACCTTCTGGCTGTTGTCACTCTAAGACTGACAATTCCAGTACTTTTAATCTTATGTTGTATACTTGATTTCCTCATTCTCAATTACTTTTCATGTTCTTCACATTTCAGATTCTAAAGAAAAGATTATCACTGCTTACATACATACTTTATTCTCCCTGTGTAACTGAAATATCTTCATAATCTAATTGTTTCACTTGTGGAACACTCCTGAAATTCACAGTGCATTATTACTTCATAGTGCTCATGTTTTTATCTCTTTATTTGACTGAGATTTTGTGGTTTCTGTTCTATTGGTTTTGACCAGTACTTCAATTTATTTTGATCCGTTTAAATAATTATTTCCTCTGCTGATGTGGTGTCATTTGCTATGTCAAATAATATAAATTAAATTTCTTTGGAATATTTCCTAATGAACTTATGCTATGTGATGCTACAGGGAGATCATGACTCCTGGCATTAATTCCCTGTAAGTATCATTTATTGTCCTCTAAATTAATGGTGCACCATTACTGATGAGAACCTTGCAGGTAGGTGGACTCCCTGCACTAATACAATTTTCTCCATATTCCTATTTTGTTAATATATTACCCCACATCCCAAGGGTTCAAAAGGCATTATTTGCTTTATTCATTTAATTCACAGAAGAAAATTATTTGATTGATCAGGTTAATGCAAACCTTAAAGCAAAAAACCTAACATAAAATAGTAAGAAAAGTACACAAGTGATGACAATATAATATTTAATATAAACATCAATAATAGGATAGCATGTGCTATGGGAATTTAGAAAAGAAATATCACTGAGTTAAGAAAATTAGGAAAGGCTTCATGAAGGTTGCTGAAATGGATCTTTGGAATACAGATAACATTTCCATTGATGGGAAAAGGAATAGCATAAAAGTAATTCAGAAAGCCAAAATAATATAATCAGCTCAGGAGGAAACCCATAAAGGAATACTGTTTGGAAGAGATTTCAGGGAGGTAAAATTTCTGAAAACTTTTCGGCCCAAGTTGTCAGTCAGAGTGAATCTCGCTCTTTGAGGGGATAGGGTAGGCAAGGCCATAGGACATATATAGATAACACTGCAGGAAGGAAAATGAAACCCTGATGTAATCATTATTAAACTTTTTTTTAATAATATCTTCGAGTGATGTAGCACTTGTCTTGTGCTTCACACCCATTATGCATTCCATAAAACAGCCCTCTCAGGCAGTTTTTTAATAGATTTTTAAATATGAGGGAATTAAGCCTCAGAGAAGTTAAAAATGTTGCCCAACGTCATACAATGAGTTAGGGTTTAATTCATTTCTTTCAGATTATGAAGCACTTTTATAACTAGGATGTCTAGCAAAATTGCTGTTAGAAATGTGAAAGTTAAGAAAAAGAAATAAGAAAGTTGATGTGTATGGGGGTGGGTGAGGGTAAAAGACGTAGGGAGGAAAAATAAAGCCTTTCATTTTTGCTTTCTTGTGTATGTATTTTAAAAGTTGATTAGTAGCATCTTCAAAGAATTAACTTTGCCCCAATTTCCTGTTCTTTTCCTGCTGAGGAAAGAAGCCCTGAAGATAGTTTTCATGCCTCTCGTGTTTCTGGAAGGAGCACTTTATCTGGGCTTTTTTGTTTTGCTGTTTGTTTTTTTCCCCAAAATATTTCCAAAAGATTATGGCATGCCAATTTTAATTGAATAGGAAGGTTTCTGAGTTGTCCAAAGATATCAAAAGTGAAAACAAAATAGCTCAAACAATATTGAAATGTTTGGATAGCTTTTTTTTAAATTCCAGTTTCAAGACCTATGTTTTCTTTATTTCATTTCGAAGATTCCCAGCTGTATATCTATTGATATAATACATAATTTGGTAGTATTGCTTTCTAGAAGTTATACAGACTCTGTGTGTGTGTGTGTGTGTGTGTGTGTGTGTAGTGTGTGTGTGTATATATATAAAATTCATTATCTTTTTTTTTTCAGTGGCTCATTTTCCTAAACTATGAAATTTATATGTGTGGTACACTTTTAAATAGAATAATTTTGAAATTGTTTTATGTGTTTGAATTTTGAAAACTTTAACAGCTAAATGAAATAATTTTTGAGCTCTAACGAGCAAGTTGACATTGGTGTGAAACATCTTCAGGTATTTTTAAAAGGATTGTAGAATTGTGGGTTCAACTTTGGAAATGATCTGTTGCCAAATACATACAATAATTATTGTTGAATAATTATTTGAAAATAAATAATTACTGTAACTTTAATTTAGTCTAACATATGTGGCATTTGGTTAGTTTTCTAAAATGAGAGATGCAGTGGTTTTATTTTAGCAGGGAGTCATCATCTGAAGCAGAAGCCTTCGTTTTTCCTTAGAACCTTTTACTATGGAGTTACAAGTGAATATTCTGCGGATCATTTCTAGTTGTGTGAAACAGTTTATTTTTAATGTTATATTTTATAACAAATCTGTTGTTTTACAGTTGGCCCTGGCAGAATTGTATGAAGATGAAGTGAAATGTAAATCTTCCAAACCTGATAGGCCTAAAGCTGCAGTCTTTAAAAGCCCACGAACACCACCTCAAAGGTAAGTTTTGTTTTGTTTTTGTCTTGTTTTTAAATATTGTGTCCCTTTTTAGTTCACTAATCCCAAATTATTTTAAATTGCCTCGGATATTTATTTTTTTTAAAGATTTTATTGGGGAATTGCGGGAGGGGAACAGCTTTGGGGAATCGGGGAAGGGGAACAGACAAGTTGCTGTCCTTTTGTTCTTCAGTCTAGTTGTGGAGGACGTTGCTTCACTGGCCCATGTTGGTGTTATCATTGCGCTCTTCCTGCGTGAGGCAGATTGGTTGCTGGCCACTGGACGGCCACTCACGGCGGCTCTTGGCAGCCCAGCTCCAGGTTGAGCTGTTGTTCACCATCTTAGCTGTAGAGGGCGCAGCGTCACTGGCCCTCATGTGGAATCTGAACCCAGGCCCTGCTGCTCAGAGCTGGCGTTCCAACGAGCCACTCGGCTGGCCCGGAATTTTTTAAAAATCTATAATTTCTTAAAATACATATTATTTAGGTACTATTCCTAAAACTAATAGAAAGTTAGAAGAAACTTATGGAAACATTATCTTAAATACCTAATATTTTGGTAGACATCATAGAATTATATACTGAATAGTATTTTTATGGGCACAATGGTTCTTTGCTGTCATAAGACTCATTGAGGATCTGATGAAAGCTGCAGCCCTTTTCCCTGCAAAACAGCATTTATACATAATTTTGTCAGTTGTTTTTAAGGGTTTGTCAGTTGTTTGTTAAAGCCCATCCACGGAGCCTCTGTGTGTCTTTTGTTGTCCATTTAAGATTCTGTAACTTCAGGAATCTGTCTTTGTTTCCATTGGATGATGGCCCATCTAATAAGGGATCTCTTAGACAGTATTTACTATTGCTAAAATCCTTGAACTATAAAAAGAACCAGCCATGAAGATTTAAGAGATGAGACCCAGGTATATTTTATTGCCACAAGTTTTCTTGTTTCCAGGAATATCTTCATTAACGTCTTTTTAGTACTGCAAATATCATTTCTGGGGAAAAAACTTGAATTTTCCCATTATATCTCATTCTCATAAAGTTTGTTTTACCAAAAGCTGAAAAATTCACTAAAAATTGTTTTTCCTTTTTTGTTTGTCACTGCTCAACATCCTTCCTTTCTGTAGGGGAGATAAAAATGACATATCTTTTTGGACCTTAAGAAGGAAGAAGAATATTTATAATTTTGCCCCTAACTTTTAATTTACAAATTTTCAAACCCATAGATAATCAAAGTAATAATACAGTGACTATATGCTTCACCTAGAGTCACCCGTTGTTAACGAGTTACAGTATTACATCCATGCAAGCGCTCTTTTACTCAGCTGTTTGAAAGTATATTGCAGCCATCATTACACTTCTCCCCTACATACTTCAGCACGCATCCCCTAATAAGAAGCACACATGCTTTTATAGCCTTGATAACATATCACACCTTAGTAAATGAATGGTGATTTTATTAAATCATTTAGTATATAGTCCATAGTCAGATATCTGTTAGAGCCGTTTTGGCTTTTAGGATCCAACCAAGCGCCGTGCATTCCATTTGATTATGCTACTTTGGAGTCTGATTCCAGAGAATTCCCCCCTTTAGTTGTTCGCTTTTCGCTCATCTATATAATCTAAAATTTAGTACATTGACTTCTTTGAAGTGTCTAGGCCAGATGTATTGTAAAATGTCCCACATTCAAGGTCATTGTTTCCTCATGATTAGACTCTTGTTAAACCTATTTGTGAACAATACTAGTAAGTGATATTGTCTGCTGTTTATTATATCACATCAGGAGCCATATAATTTCAGGTTTTCCCACTATTGGTGACATGTTCACTTGGTTAAGGTGCTGACCACCACATCACTCCATTGTAAGGTACAGTTTCCCTTGTACTCTGCAGGTTGGTATCTTGGCCCTGTTTGAATATCCTGTCCTTTCATTTAATTCTTATTTGACATATATGTGTAGACATACATATATGTAGAATATATAATATACTACTGCTTCCTTAATTTATACATCCTCCAAAGTTTTGAAAATACTTAAAATATTTATGTACCAAAGTTTTTCTCATAACTATTTGGCCATTGTTTGCCCAATTTGAGCATATTTTGAATAACTTAAATTTGTTCCTGACAAAACAAGTCAAGATATTTGACTAATTTGATTTTTTATAGTAGGACTAGTGTATTAATACTTTTCTTGCTATTCAAATATAATCAACATATTTTAATGAATTTTTTTCTCTTTTATACTGTCTGAAACAATGTTGCCATTAGTAGTTGTAATTTCATAATGCAATTGTTAAGGTCATTGTGCGTCGGATTTGATCTCTAGAATTGTTTACGTATCCAAAAGGAAATGCTGCCGTGAATGATATCGATTGAGCCTTAAGCTGTTCAATCTGCTTAAAACGGAATGTAAAACAAATTATTGACAATCTTTTTTTGCTAAGTATGATATTTTCTGATACTAAGTATACAATCCTTTTGATTTCATATTCAATATTGACATTTGCCCAGTTTCATTACATGGCTACTGCTTTGTTTAGTACAGAAAACAGTGCTTATTTCCATGGTCCACCTTCTTGGACAGTATTAGGTATCAGAACATTTATCTGCTCATTGTCATTAAGCTAATATATCTCCACTGTCTGAAACTCCAACCATAATGTGGTGTATGTTTTTATTTACAAGAGGAAGAACAAAATCTACAGAAAAACTCTCAGAATATAGCCTAAAACCTGCTATAACATATTCATCCACAAAAAGTTATATATCACAGATAGAACTTTAAAAATTTTTTGAACAAGTATCCTTGTTCAAAAATGTGAGAACTTAAAAAAATCCCTACAAGTCATTATACAGTCATATTGCCTTAGGAATTAAATGAGATAAAGTGTGTAAGACTTCTAGCACAATGTTGGTACTTTGTTGGGCCTTAAAAGGTTATTAGGATATAGATAAGCAAGCACAGAAGACAAATAAAACTCCAGGAACAAATGACACAGAGGAAAAAATTATACAGATGACAAGAAGGATCGGAAAAGGAACCAGCAGAACTTTAGTAGACTAGTGGCAAATACGGTTACACGGATGGAGTGCTGCCAGGGTGGGCTTCACGGACATGTGACCTGTGCAGTCACCCAGAGCCCAGGCTTAGGGCCTCATGCTGGGTTTCATGCTCTGCTATTACTCTCTTGAAATTCTTAATAAATTTTGAACCCAGAGAAGCATTTTCATTTGGCACTGGACCCACAGATGATGTAGCCAGTCCTGGATACAGGTACTTTATAGACAGCCAGCCAAGGAGAGTTGTTCTTGTGTAGAAGGCACTGGAAAGTCAGTATATGTTTTTTAATGTAAATTTTATGATTAAAAACGCTATACATGATGATAAAAGCTTTGATTCTAGAGATAGGTAACCCTCAGTTATATATTTTTTTCTGTGTTCTAATAAGGTTTTGCCAATAGATTCAAGTTTTTTAAATTCCCTAAGTTTCAGTTTTCTTATCTGTAAAATGAGAATAATACCATTGTTATGAGGATTAAATAAGCACATTGTTACCCCTTGATAAATATTAGCTATTATTATATACATTTAGGAAAATAGGACTGGTGATACAGTATAAAAGTAATCGTAATGGGAAGAACAGGATGAGGATACAAAGAAATCAAGAAGAAAACAATTGTGGTAATCTAAGGAATGTAAAATTTGGGATTAGAGAGGCATCAATGAAAAAGAGAAAGGGTGAAGTCTATGTGTGATACTTTCAAAAAATGTATTGTAGAAACTAGATAACATGGGATATAGGGAGTCAGGAATGGGAAAGAGAGAAGTCTTAAAGGTTCTTATTCTGAGATACAGGAAAAAATGTGATTGTTAATGGGATGATAAGTTTAGTTTTGGAGAGATGAGCTTGATTCAAGTAGGGGCTTTTAAATTCAGCAATAAACCATACAAGAGTAAGAGGATGCTAAAAACATGTATTTAAGAGGCATCTGTGTAGAGGAGTTTGTTATTCATGAGCATGGACAAATATTTTGATGACCAGATGAGTTTAAATAGAGAATATGAGTCAAAAATATAGTTATACTTAATTATAAAAGAGGAGAAGTGGATGGATTGTGGATCTAAATATAAAAGGAAAACAATAAAACTCCTAGAAGAAAATAGAGAATCTTTATGACCTTGAAGTAGGCAGAGATTTCTTAAACAGGTAATAAAAAAGCTTTAACCATAAAGACGCTAGTAAACCTTTTCCTATGTCTGGTTTCCTATGAGGTCTTACTCACCACAGCCAAGATAACAAGGAACTTATAGTTGTATTTTGCCCGATTAGAGACATGGGACAGGGAACGGAAGAGCTACAGGTTTTTTCCTATTCTTTTCCTTTTCTTTCCTTCCCTTTCCCCTTCTTTCCTTTCTCACTCCCTTTCCCTTTCTCTTCTTCTTTTCTTATGGCTACCTAGAATTATCTGCTATCGAGCTCCTTCTAACACTAACCGTTGTCTTAAGAGCCAGCTGTGCCAGGCAGCCTTCGGCCTGCTTGGTGCCCTGGGCTCTCTGAGTATAAGCTTGGCAGGAAGGCTTCGATTGGCCTCCGCTCTGGGTAAACTGGGGCCTCAGTGTACTTCTCCAGAGCACTGGCAGGGTGGAGGCCGCCCCACATCCACCGCCAACCGCGCCTCAGCAGTTGCGAGCCAGCCGCACGTCAGTGGGTTCTGCTTCCTGCTGTCCACTTGTTCCCCAGGTGGATTTTTCCTCCACTTACAGTGAGCTGAGTGAGAGCTGGTCTGCCCTCCCCTCTTTCTGCTCAGTTTGCACATACTAATTTTCAAGGCAGTCTGAAGGTGACCTCCATTCTTAGTCTCCAGAGCTGATACAGTTTACCCCCTTTGTTTTGTTTGGTGAGTCAGTTCAGTGCAAATTTGAAACTGGATTGAAGGGAATGGGTAATTAAGCACATGAGCTCTGATTGTCATCTTATACTGGAAGACTCCATGTTGATACTTCATTGGTTGTACTTTCCGTTATTCTTGATTGAAAAAAAAAAGTCTTAAAAGATAAAATAGGGTACTAATCTTGTGTAAATTTTTATGTTCCCAAGGACCATTATGAAGTTGGAATCAGAGTAGAAATCAGTTACTACATAGTTTATTCACTGAAAATTTTGTGGTCTAAATTATTTACCTTTAACACAGGGGATTGTAATTTTTCAGTCCAAAAACCTCTGAGGCGTAAACCCTCTATGTATAGCTCTGTGGTCTAGATTTAGATGTTCACGATCTAAATCTAGAAGTCTCTTTACTGACTAGGTCCCTACTGAGTGTGGATTCCTCAGGAGAAGAGACTTAGCTTCTGGTTGTCTAAACTGCTCCACCCCACGCACAACAGAAGTGCTTAAGTTGTGAAAGAGATGCATTTAATAAGCAATTGCAAAGGGCGAGGGAGGAAGAAACAAGCCAGTTCTCATGCCAGATGCTGAACTTGCTACAAGAATCTCCGTCAACTCCATGAGAAACTGTATGAGCGGTTACTGTTTAATTCTTTAATCCTATTTTTAAATATTCCCACAGAAGGCATACAAATTATTTTTTAATTAAATTTATTGAGGTAACAATGGTTAGTAATATTATGTAGGTTTCAAGTGTACATTTCTATAATACATCATCTATATATCACATTGTGTGCTCACCACCCAGAGCCAGTTCTTCCATCACCATATATTTGACTCCCTTTACCCTCTTCTACCATCTCTCTCCCCTCTTCCCTCTGGTATTTTTTAAAATAAAAGTTACTTTCTAAGACTGTAGCTTTTTACTTTAAAGTAGTTTATGTCTGTATTCTAAGTTTTATTCACAAACTGATGTTCAAAGGTTTTATTCAAGTGAACATGAATACAGTGGATTACATATAGTTCGACCCTCAACTGGGAAAATTGTGAATGAACTTTTCAAAGAGGCAAGGGAACATGGGGCTGTCCCTCTGAATGAAGCCACAAAAGCTTCAGGTGATGACAAATCTAAGGTAAATGCTCATTTTAAAACTAAATATTTAAAACTAAAAATACTATTTATATATTTTATCCTCTCTATAGTTTTTATACTATAACATTCTTTTTTTCTAACTGTATATTTCTGTTCTAAAGATTTGATTCATTTTTATAAGATTATAGTCTTTCTACTGATGATTGAAAGCTGAGGCAATTTCTTATATTTCAGTGTAACTCCTCTATTTACCTTTTTCATTTGAAATAATTAAAGACTCACGGGATTTGCAGAAAGTATCCAGAGAGGTCCTGCGTACCTTTCACCCAGTTCCCCCATTTCCCTAATGGCTAATGATGTTAGTTGCATTTTCCTAATAGCCTGTGAAGTTGAACATCTTTTCATGTGCTTATTTGCCATGATCTTTGTTATCCTCTTCAGTAAAATGTCTTTTCCTGATTTTTGCCCATTTTCAAGTTGGATTGTTTGTTTTGTTACAAATAAAATGGTTTGAGAGTTCTTTATATATTTTGATAGATATGGGTTCTTTGTCAGATATATGGTTTGTAAATATTTTCTTGTAGACTGCAGCTTGAATTTTCATTCTCTTACCAGGGTTTTTCATAGAGCAAAAGTTTTAAAATTTGATAAGTCCAATTTATCCTTTTTTTTTT